ACATTTGGACGCCTGCCAGTAGTTTGAGGGAGCATAGCTGGTAAGATTGTGAACAGGTATATATGGTGATGAAGTGATGAAGCAAAAATGTTGTGTTATCGATGGATGTACAGTAGATCATCAATAGTTACCCAGGAGTCAAGAACATTGGCAGGTAGCTCATGTGGGGTACGGCTCACCTTTGAGTACTAAATAACTGGATGGTTCAAGTTAAAATCTGCAAACTCTATCAAATTCCCTGCTTCCCAGAGCCTTGATTTTGGACCCATAACCCTTTAACTCATGAGGAGAGAAGAGCCAGAAGGAGGGAAGAGAAGCAGAAGCAACGCGAGAGATGCTTGGTGAGACACTCCATGCCACAAATGTGCAATGCGAAACCATTCACCACGGGGGAGATCGCTTGGGGTACAGCCATCATAGTTATGATGTTTCCAGTGTAGACCGAGCATGATACTGATGCCCAATTAATTGTCTTTACATGAAGTGTTTCGAACATCATGCGCCACTCAGCAATGTGAACCCTGGATCACATAACCCTGTCCAGGCTTACCCCGTTCTGTGCCATCATCCCGGAAAGATCGAAGATGATCGAAGTGTAATTTTCCACCATTTGACTTGAGTTTCGAAGAAAGGATTTTGTGTTTTGATTCCTTTTTGGGGGGGCTTGCTATACATGGTACCCTGCAAAAATCAACAGCTGATGTTGAACCCTTGAGGATGGCTAACACTCTCAGGAGACGAATGGCGGAGGCAGCACCATGACTGTGGGCGGGATGCTTGGCGCCATGGTATTGGTGTATTGTTTTTGTGATGATTTCTACCGTATTATTTATACATAAGTCAACTGATCAGCGTTCAAAAACTCAGTTGGTTGACATGTTGTTTTTCATTTTTTCTTACTGCATCATTGTTTATTGATCAGCGTTCAAAACACCCTTTGGTTGACGTGTTTTTTAGGCTTACTCCATCGTTTATTGGGGTTAGCATCATCCATGAACTGGGAATCCCGTTCTTCACCAATCACTATCATGGAATTACATTTCGGGTTTAGACTGCTCAGCTGGGTTTTAGCCAACCAAGCATGTGGATACACATGGGAGACAAGGGAATATTATATGATGGGATGTAACATTTTGGGGATGCAAATAAATAAATAAATATATATAAATATATAATTAGATATAATTAAATATAATTCATCAATGGGCAATATGGCTAATCATAATATATTAGGATGCTTTGCCAACCCCCCACATGTGTGGCGTTCACCCCTTCACCATGGAGTCGCACCAGTAGATTTCACGGCAGCGATCCAGTAGTATTCACCCTACTTGGGTTCACCCTCACACAGACCCAGCCAATATAAAATCATATTTGATGGTGCGACTTACACATGTTTACGGGAGGTATAAATGTGCAAGCTACTGTATGCGAGAGATAAAAGTCACTCTAAAATAACCAGCAGCTGCAAGCACCTACAGGATTTCCAGAGATATATGTTGGCACAGTTTGTTGTTCTTTAATATGCGTCAGCTCACAGTAGCTATTGGAGCGTGACCATTTACTCCCCGATAATGTTAATCCTGGATGAATAAACCCCCGGGCAATGGGGACATACTGGGATGTGCAACGAACAACGAACAATATCATATTTGGGTTTGGTTGTACATGTATATCTTCCAGTTATGGCCAATAGGGACAATGATCAGCCCAACCCTGGGATTTTGAGGTATATACACCATATTTTCAGACCTTTTTGCACAGTTTCATGGGGGTTGAAACATAGATTTTCTGTTGGACATGGCCTTGTTTGGATGGTTCCTGAGGTCAGTTCTCCAAGGAATTATATAGTTCTTGCAGTTCTCACCAGTTAGCATGTTATAGAGCTGATAAAGCCCATCAACAATAGATACATCTGCCATAAACATCCAATAATAACACCCATAAACATCCAATAATAAGATCCATAAACACCCAATAATAAGATCCATAAACATCCAATGACATCCATTAACATCCACACATATCCATACCAAAAAGATCTTTCAACCCTATAGTTATCTATATATGATATAACTATAATATACTATAATGATATAATGTTTATAATGCCATAGTTATCTATATTTAACCTATACATATATGAGATATATTTACAGTATATTATATATATATGCATATATATATATGTATAAATAATGTTTACCAACTTAGCCTAACTTAGCTAAGGACCCACAGCCACCAGCCCTTGGTCAGGAGCAGCTCGCGGCTCCTAGACGAAGACAGCGACGGCTCGTGCCTTTAGCGAAAGGATCAATGGCCACCGGTCACCGCTGGGCGAAGGTTTTGTTTAAGCACTTGAATGTTTTTTTTTATTTATTTATAGATATATATGTATATATATATGTATATTTTGTTTATGTTTTCTAATGTAATTATTACAATATATTTGTTCACCCAAAAACGCAATAAGAATAGTTGGCCGGTGGCATTCTTGAAACATATACTCAAGTAATGCCTTTTTGCTACACATTGAGGGTTGTGACAGCATTTGCGGGCAAACAACTGAGTAAACCGACTGGTGAACGGCTGGTTAATTTGGCTGCAACAAGGGAATGCGAACTAGGCACGAGTGTTTTGCATGGCGTCCAAGCTTTGCCACAAAAGGGGAAGGAAACAAATTTGGCTTGGTGAATGCAAACGGATTGGTAACAATGGGCCTTTTATGTATTTTTTTCGGTTTGCAACATTTTTGCTGTATTTTACACATGATAACCATTGGTTTTTGATCCACAATGTTTGACGAAGAGACGTAGCCGGCAACGAATCAATTCGACCCACAAAGTTGGTGGTGTAATTTTGTTTAAGGGGAAATCCCATTGCAAATGTTGGATACACATGGATATTGGAATAAGAATGGTTATGAAGGCATCCCCAAGTTTTTTGAGAGCCACTTTTGAAACTTCAGCCGCCCTGGTTCCCCTTGGGCCAGCCATGTATGCATTCAGTTAGTGCTAAACCTCACGCCCCGAAACGGCTGCATCACCCAGGCATCATCCTGTGCCTCGTATACCTCTCAGCCCCACTCGGAACGACCCGAACGGCAAAGGAGGAGAAGTCAGGCAGCCTGAAGTCGACTGCTCAATCATTTTTTTCTGGGTAAACCATGGTTGGGTAGTCCGTTGCTGGATCTTTTATTTTAGATACATTCATTGACCAGAGCAAAATATGAAGAGTGTCCAAGACTGGCATTGTTTTCCCATCAAAGATTCAGTAAATTGCTGGTTATACGGCTATGTGATGTTATTTTCAGAGAATTCTGGGCAAGTTCAAGGATCTTAAAAAAGGAGGTTGAGCAAGCGACTCTGTATCAGCCATGGCTGTTGACGCTCAGAATGATTATGTTCTCGCATGATGTACTGGAAACTCATTGAAAGACACACCTCATTTCAATAGCAACAACAATTATAAGATATGATCTCCTGCACTTGGTTCTGTTCTCATGTGTATGGGACATTTTTGTTGATTGTCTTTGTCCTGAAGATGAAAAGAAACCCTTGTGGTTGCTGTGGTTGCTTTCCCCTGCCGTGGTCATGCGTTACCGTGTTGGTTTGGTCAATCAACCCCATCAGCTGGGAGATACCCTATGATGATGATAGAATCCCAATTGATGTGAACTTTGGTCCTATGGTTAATTACAACTATGGTTGATACTAACATTTAATAATCCTATACCATATGATTATATATGATAACTATTGATAACTAACATTACTATCATATAGTAATATATAGTGGCCATATACAATATAGAATTATTGGCCATTATATGGTTAATTATAACTAATCAGGTAGACACCGGCGCCGTGGCCAGCTGGCTGTGAAGGCCGCTTTTTTCATGGGGGAACTAGTTGTAACCAAGGATGTTGCGCAACTTTACTTACTGGTGCTTAGTAGGAAATGGATGGGAATGGGGGAATGGCATGGCATTATTAATGGTTATTGTGGATCATTCCCTCATTCCCTACTAAGCACCAGTAAGTTTAAATCTAAAACTGTTCAGTGATGTTTCTATGTCGATTTGATTGCTAAACAATGTTTAATTCTATCTGCTTGCAATATAGAACGTCAAAGACCAATACACAGATGGGATGGGCTCAAATGAACTCTTTGGCAAAGACTGAACATTGCGGAGCTATTGGCGGTCTATTGATGAGCCATGACAATATCCAAGATTTGTCTTCTCATGGTTCACATTTGTTTAAACAGATGAAGAAGAGACCAATACAGACCAGGACAAACCATCATCATTCCTGATGATTTAACTCGTAGGCAATGAGGAAAATACTGAACATCATGGAACATCATGGAACCTGCTGGAGGCCATGCTTCATGCTTGCCATGATATTTGTACTGTCTATGTTTGACGGACAAGTGCTGTATCATGAAAGTGAATCTAGACATAATATATGATCATATATGTATGATATTTGTGCACTCAGGACACGCACACACACACACATGTATATATATGTATATATATTATATAATATATATATATATATATCACATACACATGTATATACATATGGGTCAGCATGGAAGAATGAAAGAACTGTGGCCAGGCTTCACCCAAGCCGTTGAGGCCCATAGAACAATGGAGGCCATGAGGGAATGACTTCGCTACTATGCGCGTATATAGATACATGTTATCTGTATTTATTTATATACATATATATATATGTATGTATGTATGTATGTATGTATGTATGTTATGTAATGTATGTATGTATGTATGTATGTATGTATGTATGTATGTATAATTGCATATAAAGGTGTTTACACCCAAAACTGGAGAGAGGTACAGAGAAATTGTCACATATACATCTCTCATTTATATATATATATAATATACATATGTTCGTATTGAAATATGCGGAGATGCAGCAACCGACAAAGAAATGTCTCAGGTTTTAGCCTCGCAACTTCCAATTTTCGCCATGGCATCCCCCATGCGCAAGAGCCGGGCATGGCTGGCGCTGCTGGTAGGATGCTGCAGCTCGGAAATTCCACGTGATCGTTGAGGTTTGGCATTGGCGTGGAACATGTTTTCACGTTGGGGCATTGATTTGTATATATATATATATATGTGTGTGTGTTTATATACATATATTATTTTATAGTCTATATGTCTTTTATTTTATCTGTTGGGGAAAACCCCTCGCGCCTTCATCAACGGACTTTATTCATTTGAGGTTCACATTAGATCACATTAGAAGATCTCATGAGATTATCAACATACCCATGCCATGCCACACTTTGTAGCCATGAAGTCGGTGGGAATCATACCACTGACTTGGGGGGTTCAGTTCCAGTGAATAAGTAGGTGTAGCCATTGTTACAGCTGCTAGAAAGAATACTATATATATATACATGATTGACCTCCATTTCATCATAGTTATTTCCGCGATTCTGGCCACAGAAGTTAACCCAAAATGGTTATACAGATACCACTGCAACCCAGGTGTCTTACCCATGTAGCCTTTGGAAAACCTCACGTTGATATCCATTGTAGTTTCAAGATGTTTCAATCACCCCAAATGCACCTGCCCAAGGCACAGTTCACAGCGGCTTGTTCGTGCTGCCTGCGGCTGCACCCCCCCGCCCTGCGACCCGACCACAGGGCCCAACATATGCAGCGCTGACGGCGGGAACTTCCCCAGGAGAAGGGGCCTGGGTAGCTCTACCGGATCAGCAGCACCGATGATCATGGGCTCCACAGCCCATGACGCCTGGGTTCAGCAGATGTGGTGAGGATGTGGCAGATTTTTGGGGAAAACCAACTGAAAGAATGTGGGGAGTGAGGAATAAGAAATGATAAGAAATGTCTAAGCACATGTTTTAAATGGGTAAATGTGGTTCCTTAGAAACCGGTACCGCGGTGTTGAGTAATCAGGATCAGCCCTCCACAGTGCCATGGAAGTGCCCCCCCTGCCCCCTGTCTCCAGAAGCTTTGGCGATGCGAAAGTCGCGGATAGCGGGGCGACCCAACAAGACGCCAGCCACAGCCAGGGGAGTAGGAAGGACGCTGAAGATCATGTTCCTTGGCCGGGAAAGCGTGGCATAGATTCGGGAGGTTACAATATGGGTGTTTCTCAAAATGGAGGTTCCCCAAAACCATTGGGTTTCAATACTACAAGGGTCTAATGACTGGATGAGATGATTTGAGGTATCATTGTAGGAAACCTCTTTACAATCCACAGCTCAAAAAGGCAAGGACTATGTAGGACTTTGCATGTTCTTCCCTCCAACGACTCTAACGTCGCCCACAGAAGGTAGCCCCCAAGGACAGCTGACATTCCCGCATTGCTCCAAAGCAATTGTTGGGGAGTGCTTCCTTTATTTGGATCAGTCTCACCACAAAGGCCACAAAGGATGATGGCTTTTTTGGGAACTTTTACTATATATAACATACTATAACTGTCCTGTAACAATGGCCTCAAATCCGACAGTTATGTTTTGCACATTATCAACATGTTGGAAGCCACATCAAACACAATGAGCCGATGTCAACATATCATAACATATCATAGCATATCATAACATATCATAACAGATCATAATATGTGGAAAACACTGCTCAAAATCCATTGCACCATATGGCGCCTGTTTCTTTGGTGAAGCTTTTCCTTGTGCAGGCTGGGAGTTCCCTCCCTCCTGGCTGTGTTTAGCTTCCTGATGGCTCCTTGGCTGTCAAAATGGGGGACCCCACTGGGATTTCGCTACTACCAACACAGACCATTCAGAATGGTGGAGGTGGAGTAAAAAGGTTCCCTATGTCTTGGACATCGCCTTCTTTAAACATGTGCACCTGCAAAAGGGTCTCAACGTCATTCTTGAGATTGTTTATTGGGACGGGTATTTCAGATTAGTTAGTGAATACTGTGAATAGAATAAACTAAAAACTTGGACAGGGCGCCCACAGAGCGGGCTGACAGTGAACAGACTGGTCATGTTGCAAGGCTCCGGTGCTCAGCACTAAGGTCTTGAGAGGCTACAAGACCATGGAAACCAATGGGGCTGCTTGGCTTCAACGAGCGCAGCCTCTGGCAAAGTGCCAAGTGAAAAGCCCTGGTTGAAGTACATGATTTTCGTACATCATTTGATATCACATATCTCTGTATTATAATCATATATAATCAAATATGTTAGAATTATATATGATTTTACCCGATTCATTTCCTAATTAAGACTTGGCTCCATTGGTTGGACAATTTCGAGGTATCCCATTTTCCGTTTCCAAGCACCCCATGGCTCAGGACGCCATGCAAGAGAAGTGGTCCAGCTTTGCCAGGAAGCCCGGACAGCGACACTTGGCCAAATCAGCAGTGAGGTGGGAAAGGCTGCGCCAAGAGCGTGGAGACATTTGCCAAAAGCCAGGGAATAGGGGGTTTCCACCAATGGGGGTACCCCAAAATGGATGATTTACAATGAAAAATCCTACTAAAATGAATGATTTGGGGGTACCCCTATTTTAGGAAACCTCCATAAATCATTATATGTCGAGCTAACCAGTCCGGATAATTAGTGACGTGTATTAACCACTAAGAACCACTATCAAGCCATTCAATGCAATTGTTATATTAATAACAATTAATGATGGGGGTTTCCACATTATGAATGATACCCCCAAAAGTTTACCAGTATTAAACCATTACAAGAAACCCCTTTATTAATTGTGATATTGGGTGTCCATTTAATTAAGCCATTAAACGAATAACAATTTATAAGATTGTATAAGCATTAATCATCCTTCAAAGCCATGATTAACGGCTATTCACAATGTCATTATACATAACCATTGTCAGTGTTATATTGTGCCTCATTGAGCCATGAACAATCTTATCTAAAAAAAAGTTGGTAAAACAATGCCATAAACCATCCCCCATTAGGCCCCCATTTCACCAGGTTTATAGGTGGTAACCATTCCCAAATGGGGATGGGTCAAAACCCTGGTACCTAGTGAACCCCAAAACAGCTGGTAAATGGATGTTCATCCCACTAAAAATGTATCTATAGGTATTGACCCATACCCAAATGGATGTTTCCCCACCCAGATGTGGTTGGAACTCGACTGAGGTATGCTGTCGCTCATGGCGGGCGCCGTCCGTGTGGGTCTCATAGCCCTGCGCGCCAAACTCATCCGAGACCCGGAGAAGAAGTCAGCCATGCACACCAAGGCGGGTCCAGCCTGAAGGGTGGAGAAACTCGGGGGAAAACGACCCTTTTCCGACAGAGAGAGAGGGGGAACTGATGAAAACGGTGGAAGACTGCAGAAATCTAGGGGAAAACTATGTCAAACTGGAGGAATTCAGGACGAAAGTATGTGCAAGACTGATCAAAACTGGGGATCAGCGGGAGCACCAGATCTCAGCAAAAGAGGTCCTTTTTCAATGTGGAGAAAGATCTCAGCAAGGGAGAAACGTTTGCGGCTATCCAAGATGCCCCAGGGATGAGAAAAATATGAAAATATGATTTGGCCGCCAAATTTTGGGCTGTACATTTCCATCCATTGAATGCATTGTTTTGTGACAATTAGGTGCATTTGACCATTGGACTAAGTTCTTTGCATCAACATTGGATCCTCCCAAAAGTGCTGATGGACTGCAAAAAATCACAATACCAAGATCTCTGGTTCGGCAGGCGGGCAAACGCGCTGTGACAGAGCTTGTCAGATTGGGACCCACCTATGCCACTGAGAGTGCATGCAGGTACTTGTGCAGTGATAGGCCCCTACTACTTACCTACTTACTATTTGGTTACCAATATATAAACATACATACTGCTACCCTTTTTTCCATTTTTTCATAAAATTCAAGAAAGTGCGGGCAGTGTAATACGATAGTTTTTGTATTAACTTTTGGGTTTGCCACGTTGTATAATTACCATTAATTGTATTAATTGTGGTAGTATGTCCAATCAACACTCCAACCTGCCTTATTTTTTGGGTAGTTGGAACCCGATCAAATTATTTGTCCTATCTTAGTTTGGCCAATCATTGCAGGGGAAAAGGAAACAGCTAGCTTTGGCCTCCTAGCCCATGAAGCAGGGAACCCCAGGGTACAGTACCTTCAGACATATTTTTCGGGGAAAGTGATTGGAAACATGCTAGAGTTAAATAACAGCCATCCATTCTTACCATCCAATTACTGTATTTCCTCGGGTTAGTGTTCAACAAGGTTCCTCTGATTTCCCCCATTCTGGGAACTATTCGGGAGGTACACTTCCGTCTGCAGGTGGTAGACCGCACACATCCGCACACTTGCGACTCTAAGAATTAGGGCCCCAGGATTCACGGATGGCCAGTGTTGTCGGTCGCTGGGATCTTTCAGGACCGGGTCCTGAGGTGAAGTTGGGTCAGATTTTGTCCTGCAGAGAAGATCTGGTGCCGAAGGAGTACATCAATGAGCTGCCGCTGAGCCAAGATATGGGGGTGAGTTAAGTTACCATGGCTTGCAATGGAAAATCATGTGGAAACACGTGGGAACCCAGTTTCCGATAGTTTCAGTTGGGGCTGTGATGATTTGTTCATTGCTCTCACGGGTATGGAACAAGCTCGGCGACATTGCGGCCCATACCCTGCGTTGAGTTCATCAGCAAAATCATGGGGTAGTCCCAGTGCACTCTGGCACATTAACATGGCGGGTATGGGCCACGAATACTTTGATCATTTACCTATTTGGGGGTTTCCTAAAATGGCGGTACCCTCAGTTTATCATCCATGTTTAAATGGGATTTTGCATGAAAGAAACCATCCAGCTATCGGGGATCCTCCGTTTATGGAAACCCCCCATTTCACTGGTGATTTTCCAGTTCAACGGAGAAATGACCTGGCCTTGTTGCCGCGTCTGCAAGCACCCCCAGGAAGCGACTGCAAGATGAAGTTCCTGCATTCAGTGGAGAACGTGCCAAGATTTTCGGCGAAAACCAGTGGATGGGGAATCACACCATCTGGTGGGAAACAAACCCTGGATGGATATCGATGGGATGATATCATGGCTATATATATATATATATAAATTATATAGCTATATATATATATATACATATATATATACCTTAGGAACCCAAACCCGCAAAACACGTAGGGTCAGTGGAAAAAAAACGAGGTTTCTGGCAGAAACCCGATGTTTTCCAAACCAGTACTAAAATACGGGGTTAGTACGGGTAAAATACGGGGTTAATACGGGTTAAATACGGGTTCAGTACGGGTTTGAAAAAGAAAAACCGAGGTTTGCGTAAGAAACCCGAGGTATTTTCATTTCGTCAAACATACCCGAGGTTTCGAGTCAGACCCTACAAATTTCCAGGGTTTGGGTTCGCAGGGTATATATATATATATATATACATATATATATATATATACCAGCTTAAACCATGCAGAATGTCCCAGACCATGGTGACATGCAACAGCCACAAATGCGATCCTTTAAGGTTACACGTCTAAGGCATAAACATGCAGATCATTTGTTTGCGATATATTGACACGTTAAGTTCTGTAACACACAACTATGTATCTATAATCAATCATTATACATACAGTATATACTGGTTGGTGGTTTGGAACATGGCTTTTATTTTTCCCATCATATTGGGCATGTCATCATCCCAACTGTTACTCAGTCCATCATTTTTCAGAGGGGTAGGTCAACCACCAAGCAGTATATTAACCATCATTAACCATATAATAACCATATATTAACCATTATTTACAGTATATTAACCATATATTAACCATATATATTAACCATATATTAACCATATATTAACCATATATTAACCAACCAGTATATGTGTGTATTAAATATTATGCACAGGTGAAGCCAAATTTCCTGGGGCGGATGATGGGCTTAACTCCGCCCAGGAAGATCATCGAGACGGAGTTGGGAAAACCTGCCAGCGCCTGGGCAAAAAAGGATAGCGGCAGGCATGTTGTATTAGTAATCCTCTATATTTATACTGTTTTACTGAGTTATACTGCATGTATATGACATATGTGCACGTTCTTAGTACATACATCATTTGCGCTTAACCCTGGCTCGCAGCCTTCGTCAGGCGAACTCTTTGCTGAGTTCGATGACAAGCCGCTGGCGGCGGCGTCGCTGGGACAGGTACATCGAGCCAAGACCAAGGATGGTGTGGAGATGGCCATCAAGATCCAACGAGACAACTTGAAGGAACATGGGCCTGGGGGTTTCCGTTTCGTCATGTAGCCCCAAATCATCAAGTCATGGACCATACATGATAGATCATGATAGTATTTAGAAAGCCATACATTCATATGATTCACATATATATATATATATTATATATTAGCTAGGTTCAAGATAGGTGGTAGAGGCCTTAAGTAAGATCCAATCATGTCTGGTACGTACGGCTGGTAGGTTTGGTTTTCTTGGTACGGTACGGTTGGTACATGTGGTACGGTACGGTTGGTACGGTTGGTACGCTTAGTAAGGTACGTTTGGTACGCTTACCAACCGTACCGACCGTACCAGTGAACCGTACATAACCGTACCACCGTACCGTACCAGATTAAGGGGGGGGTCAAGGGGGGGGCGTTTTGGATGTACCAATACTACTTTTGGTACATCCAAAACGCCCCCCCTTGACCCCCCCCTTAATCTGGTACGGTACGGTGGTACGGTTCACTGGTACGGTTGGTCAGGTCGGTACGGTTGGTAAGCGTACCAAACGTACCTTACTAAGCGTACCAAGCGTACCTAGCCAAAGCGTACCAAGCGTACCAAGCGCACCAAGCATACCGTACCAAGTGCACCAAGCGTACCAAGCGTAGCGTACCTATCTTATAACTGGATATCAAGCACCTATCTTGAACTTAGATAAATTATATATATTATATATATATATATATTATATTATATATAGGGACTTGAGGATCCCCCATTTCAAGAATCGCCCACAATTCAACAGAGCCAACTAACAGGGTTGAACCTTACTGCAAAAACAAAGGACTGAAGTGGACTATCGAACTCTACCGGCGAAAAGTGGGATTCAGATGGATTTAACATGATTTAGCTGGTCTGAATATCAAAAGAGGTAGGGTTTAAGCACATCATCACATGGGATTTGATTGGACTCAGTAATTATAATTTATAATCCAATTGGATTTAAGAGGGTTGAAACCTCAAAAACCCGACTCAATATCGAAAAATCAAATTATCTAACACACGGACACATAGTTAAAAGCAGGTGCTTGCAAGATGTTGAAGTTGAACATCTTGGTGTTTTATATGTTGATTGAAGGTCAATGAGTCAACAACATGCTGGTTTGAGATCAGAAAACTCAGGTGCCATGGTGGGTTGACCTCAAATCTTGCTTGTTGCACGCGTGTTTGCAACTTCAAAGGGTGATTGAACCACAACAAGGGTTTGGACTATCGACTAGATTCAACTAGATGTCCTTGTCCGGCATCCTCATGATTGGTTTACTGTTGGATACTTAGTGCCTCAGTGGTATTTCCGTGTATTGTGTCAAATTTCTCTCCCTTCCCACGGCGGAGAGATTCGTTTCCTTGTTCTCCTGGTCTGCCGAAAGCTTTTGCACTTGGGAATGCAGGCACTGGTTTTTTGAAGCATTGTTGGAACTTGCAAAGCGTGCTTACAGATGCAGATGCAGAATCTTGTAATCAAACGTTTTCCTGGGATTGGATGTAGATGAACTAATTCACGTTAATTCACGTGAAAATTCTCCAACTTCAGAAACTCCCTAGCTGGCTCCCTAGCTGGCCACGCCGTTCAGGAGATGTATGACTTGGACTTGGCACAGTTCGACAAGATCGCCGTTACCTTGGACAAGTTCAAGATCGGCGTTGAAGGGGCGTCAGGTGTTTGGGTGGATGCTGGGACTTGGATGACTTGGTCAGTGGAGGTTATCATGGGCTGTTGTGTTATGTTGTGTTGATGCCATAAATCTTTGAATTGTTTACGCAGTTTTACATATGATCACCATGGGAATGAGATGATGATCCCCAATGACTTTCATATACTTTCATATCTTCAGAGCGTAGCTTCGCCAAGGACATGTTCGAAGATGCCAAGGTGATTTTGTATCGACTCTGGGCTGGATTAGAGGGGCGGCTTCATCATGCAATAAATCTGATGTCTCAGCAATTTTGGGCCAGCATTTTTCGATATATTGATATGGAGGTTTCCCAAAATGGGGATTCCCCAAATGGATTGTTTATAGTGGAAAATCCTATAAATATGGATGATTTAGCGGTACCCCTAATTTTAGGAAATCACCATATACTGATATACAATTAAAAATTTCGTTTGCATCAACTTGCCACACATACCAGGCATAGCAGCCCCGAAACTGGCGGCATCCAGTTTACTGGGCATCGGAACAGAATCTCCCAAAATCCCATCCTCCAGTCATATGAAAAGCAGCCCCATTCAACGAAACCATCAATGGATTGGTTTAAGGGAAAATTTACAGGAAAACACCATATTTAATGGGAAAATCTATGGTTTCCTGTAGATTTTCCCTTAAACCAATCCATTGAAACCATGTTTTTTTGTTGGGAATTTCCACATCACTGGGACCGGCAAATCTGGGGATGTCTTACTGGGCGGATGGGAGTCCAGAGATTCCGCAAGGAGAGATCGACTACCGAGCCGAAGCGGAAAACACGCAGCGCTGGTACGACAACTTTAAGGAAATCCAGCGATGTTACCCTCTGGTAAATAAACATAGACCCTGAAAATAGCCAATTTTTAATGGAAACTAATCTTCCAACCCTATCTGGCAGGGTCTATGTTAATTTACTGGAGGGTATTTGATTTTAGGCGCACTGTCATGCACCGTCTTTCCGAAAGTTATAGTTAAGGAAAGGTGGTAGCACGAGAAATCTTTGAGCAGATGAAGACGGATTTGTACAGCCTGTGCCACATCTCCGGAGATTAGCGGCATGGAATACAAAGAATTCACACTCATTACTTAGTAATCAGTAATATAAAATATGTTCATGCTAATATTCCCATGCTAGTATTCCATACGATATAGTCAGCAATAGATGCAATATCAAGAGCAAGTACTATTCCCTATGGATCCAGCCGTACCTTCTTAGGAAGTGGTTCTGGTATCATTTAGCACTTTAGGATACGTTTATGGTAGCTTCTAAAACAAATGCGTTTAACGATCTCCAGAGATGGCAATGGAGAGAGAGAGAGGGAGAGAGAGAGAGAGAGAACCATTGGACCATAGAGATTCCAGTAATCATACTTCATCCCTTACCCCATTTCAACCCTTTGTGCCAGGACCTGAAGTGGACCACGAGTCCCAAAGTGCTTGGCCTTCTAAAAACTGGTTACCCTCCCCCCTAAGCGGAGGTAAATGACTATATATACTACATAATATACATACATACATACATACATACATACATACATACATACATACATACATACATACATACATACATACATACATACATACATACATACATACATACATACATACATACATACATACATACATACAACATACATACATACATACATACATACATACATACATACATACATACATACATACATACATACATACATACATACATACATACATACATACATACATACATACATACATACATACATACATACATAATATATACACACATATACACCATATTTTTATATATACATACACTATATCTATATATATATATACACTATATCTATATATATATATATACATATATATACATACAGATTGGCACCCTATGGATAAACAGCTGATGTGGTAATCCACTGTTTCATGTTTTTAAAGAATTTAAATCTACTGGAAATCAATCGGCTAAAGAGGTGGTCCATTGAAACACTGCAAGATGGCGGTTGGGAACACTGATTGACCCTTGATATCTGGGGAGCTAAGGAGGTTTTATGTCACATTTTACATGGGGATTCCCGGAAAGTTCGAGTCTTGGTGCAGAAAGCAGAAGCCAAGGGTAGGGTCATAGTCATAGCGGTCAAAATGGTTTTTAATGTTTTTGGTTGTGGAAGATTCTTTGTTTTGGATTGTTTGGTTGGCCCCTTTCACGAGGCTTAGAGCTTTCGATTCCTTCTCAAATGCTGAATCTTGAGTGGTTTAACATTTCCCTTGGAGTGAAATTGCAAGCGCGGGCATAGCATGCCAAAGGTTAGGGAATGACTCAACATCAGTGACGCCCCAAAATCACTGCAAGCCCCAAGATCTTCCACGGATGTCAATGAGATACAGTGAGGCTCTGTGTTGCAAGACTAATGACTAATGCGGAGACCATGGTCATCCTTCAAGCTTGACCACATGTTGTCCTGAAGTTGAAATCCTCATCTTTGATTTGTCAAGACCCCAGTTGTTTTGGTATGTTTTGGTTGTTTTCTGGCGGCTTTCAGTACCTATAAATACCGCAGTGTGTTAAACCCAAGGCCATTAACCATGCCAAACCACGCAATGACTTGCCGGAAATGGTCAGTAGAAAATCACACCCCGATTGCAGGTCAATTAGCTTCAACACAGCAATGTCAGCCCAATGTTCTGGTGGTTCATGGTGGTTTCTGGAGCCGTTTTTTCTCACATGGTAGACCCTTCAGGAAGTTGTGATGATTATATATTCCCATAAGCTCCATAGTTCTGGGATGTGCTGGGCATAACCCACATTTATCCAAAAAAAACTAGACGACGGATGGCCCGAGAGCGTAGAGGAGCAGAGTCTTCTGTTGTTAGTATGGAGACACTATATTAAAGATGTATTATAGGCAGACGAGAAGAGTAGTATCAAGACAATATATGACTAGTACAAGACAATAGTTTGCATCGTATTTTTGTAAAGTTTTTCATACACAGAACTTTTTACAGACAGACGCTTTTGCACACAGAGACTTTTACACACAGAGACTTGTACACACAGAGACTTTTACACACAGACGCTTTTACACACAGACGATTTTGCACACAAACACTTTTACACACAAACACTTTTACACACAGAGACTTTTACACACACAGACGCTTTTACACACAGAAGCTTTTACACACAGAAGCTTTTACACACAGACACTTTTACACACAGACGCTTTTACACACAGACGCTTGTTACACATAGGCTCTTTTACACACAGACACTTTTACACACAGACGCTTTTACACACAGAGCCTTTTACACACAGACGCTTTTACACACAGACGCTTTTGCACACAGAGACTTTTACACACAGAGACTGTTACACACAGAGACTTTTACACACAGACGCTTTTACACACAGACGATTTTGCACACAAACACTTTTACACAAACACTTTTACACACAGACGCTTTTACACACAGACGCTTTTATACACAAACACTTTTACACACAAACACTTTTACACACAGACGCTTTTACACACAGACGCTTTTACACACAGACGCTTTTACACACAGACGCTTTTTACACATAGGCTCTTTTACACACAGACGCTTTTACACACAGACGCATTTTACACACAGGCTCTTTTACACACAGGGACTTTTACACACAGAGGCTTTTACACACAGACACTTTTACACACAGACGCTTTTACACACAAACATTTTTACACACAGACGCTTTTACACACAGACGCTTTTACACACAGACGCTTTTACACACAGACGCTTTTACACACAGACGCTTTTACACACAGACGCTTTTACACACAAACGCTTTTTACACATAGGTTCTTTTACACACAGACGCTTTTACACACAGACGCTTTTACACACAGACGCTTTTACACACAGACGCTTTGACACACAGACGCTTTTACACACAGAGGCTTTTACACACAGACGCTTTGACACACAGACGCTTTTACACACAGACGCTTTTACACACAGACGCTTTTACACACAGAAGCTTTTACACACAAGTAAAATCGCAATTTTCTTCAGTTTTTGACGATCGACCCTCATTTCGTGCGAAAGGGTTGCTCCGGCACAAGTAAAATCGCAATTTTCTTCAGTTTTTGACGATCGACCCTCATTTCGTGCGAAAGGGTTGCTCCGGCACAAGTAAAATCGCAATGTTTCCTCAGTTTTTGACGATCGACCCTCATTTCGTGCGAAAGGGTTGTTTTAGCACAAGTAAAATCGCAATTTTTCCTCAGTTTTTGACGATCGACCCTCATTTCGTGCGAAAGGGTTGACGTTTCGTGACTCACCGCCGGTACCACCCTCGGCCTAAAGAGAGAAAGATAAAGAAGGCGAGAGAGAGAAAAAAGAGAGAAAAAGGAGAGAGAAAGGAGAGAGAGAAAGGAGAGAGAATGAGAGAGAGAGAAGATGTGAAGATGAGAAGGTGTGAAGATGAGAAGGGTGTGAGAGAAGATGTGAAGATGAGAAGGTGTGAGAGAAGATGTGAAGATGAGAAGGTGTGAAGATGAGAAGGTGTGAGAGAAGATGTGAAGATGAGAAGGTGTGAAGATGAGAAGGTGTGAGAGAAGATGTGAAGATGAGAAGGTGTGAGAGAAGATGTGAAGATGAGAAGGTGTGAGAGAAGATGTGAAGATGAGAGGGTGTGAGAGAAGATGTGAAGATGAGAAGGTGTGAGAGAAGATGTGAAGATGAGAAGGTGGGAGAGAAGATGTGAAGATGAGAAGGTGGGAGAGAAGATGTGAAGATGAGAAGGTGTGAGAGAAGATGTGAAGATGAGAAGGTGGGAGAGAAGATGTGAAGATGAGAAGGTGGGAGAGAAGATGTGAAGATGAGAAGGTGTGAGAGAAGATGTGAAGATGAGAAGGTGTGAAGATGTGAAGATGAAAAGGTGTGAGAGAAGATGTGAAGATGAGAAGGTGTGAAGATGAGAAGATGAGATACAGACCCCCACTATTGGAAGAACCCTGCGCTCAGACGCTCTCGGGAACAAAGAACACAAGGCTCTTCAAACCATGTACTGTATAAAATCATGTAGCAGCACCGCTTCGGCTGGGCAGGTGATAAATGAGTTCACCACCTCGAAAGTCTTGGCTCTGACCTTTGTGAAAGGTACCAAAATCTCTGATCTCAAGATGCTTGGCTGGAAAAGGGTGGGTATTTGGCTAATGAAATTATACTTCGATGTGCCATGTAGTGGGTTCCAACCAATTACCACTTCGCTAGTCCCATCCGCTACCCTCAAGTGGGATTCTGGGGTCGACCACGTCTTTCCCCCCAAAGATGGAGGCCAAACATTGCATGCAGCCCATGCTTGAATTGTAAAGGGATACTTGTCACGATGATACTTCATAAAGTTGGATGCCTTTTCGATTCTTGGCAATCAACTCCAGAATTTTGCTCCTTGTAGGTGGAAATGTTCAAGTGAACAGTCTTGGAGCTGCAAACGCTCATCCCAATTTCGGCACATCCCTTTTTGCAGGGCACTGGAAGCACAGAACTTTGATCGAACCTTGTTGGCGAAAAACTTGGCGCGGGCCTATCTGCTGGCATTTTGTATCTTGGTTTGGGACAGCGTCTATTGGGCCATTTCCGTAATCTCTCTCAAATGGTTGAAAACCTAGTAGGATAGGAGGGGTCCTATCAGCATCTCTGAGATCTAAACAGAAGTTGTGTTCACGTTTTGAGGTCACTGGTATTTAAAAGAAGACCCAACGAATCTTAACATTCCATGAGCCAATGATAAATTATATAATACATGTTATGACTTATGACCTGTTTTTTTCTTTCCAACGAAGGACGTGGAATGGGGATGCCAGCACTAATGGCTGTACTGGCTATACAAACGTTTTCTCTTTAGACGGGTGCTGGCATGGCAAAGAAGAATGGCATTGAAGACGCCTGAGTGACAGTTCAATTTAGGTTGATTGGCTGGGTAAACTTTGGGGTCGCAGATTTCTGAATCGTGGATTATATATATAATGCTTCAACGACACATGGGGAACATATACATAAAGAATGCGTGTTTGATATGCCCGTGTCATTACATACCTAGCATCCACTCGTCTGAAGGGTGCCCTTTTTATTTGTGTTTTTGACCGACAATCATCGCAAATCGGTAACAATGGTGGAACCCCATAAGGAAACCCATCAGTTTCCCCAACAAGCTCATCAAAAAGTGGCTAGCCCAAGCACTGCAGCCAAGGTAAGTATGGCTTCTTCAACACGGATCCTCATCCGGGCAATTTGGCCGTGGATGATGGCTACCCCGGTGGCCGTTTGATCTTCTACGATTTCGGGCAGGCTGGCCACGAAGCCATGGCTGTGGCACGATAGGTGGAACGATAGGTGGGCAAGGGCTCAATATTTTTTTTGGGGGGTGACCTACTGGAAAAGTGATACAACCTGCACTTGTTTTATTCATTTTTATTCTAATTATCCAAAATCACCATGGAACAGATTCATCAATGCTGAATCTATTTGATGTTCATTCGGTGACGGCTCCCTCAAAATGTTGTTTCTTATTTGTTGTTGGTTAGGCTATGTGATACATATTGCCGCACCAAATTTCTGGGATAACACGTGATAGGCCGCAAGTTTCAGGGCATTCGTCTTGCTGGATTGTATTGGATTCCATCGCTCATCTTAAGTCTTAACTCAAGGGTTAAGCGCATCAGGCACATGAGAACTCCCAAGAACCATCAAGAAATGGACACATTCCCAGATGGGATGGTATGGTATGGTATGGTATGGTATGGTATGGCACCACCAGGACAACTGCCATGCGCAGTTGCGTCCTGCATTTTCCAAAACTGAAAGATCAAAATGGTTCCACCAATCAGTTGCACACCCGGAAAATGATAGGACAAGCTCCCACAGCCACATGACCCAGGTCTTCCACTGGTCACCGTGTGTGTGTTAGCAAATAGTATCGCTTTGGTGCTTGAAAACTGTAATGGGAAAAATCAAAACACACCTTCCGCTTGTGCCTTCTTGCTTTTTCCCCCTCGTGTCAAGAAAGCAATTTAGAAAATAACTAAATGACGCAAAGCTTGTGAGAACAAGCTGCAACAAATCTCGAAAGTTTGTCGAACCTAACATCATTCTGCATTTTATCATTAGAGTCATTAGAACAAAGAAATTCCAAAAAATGCTTGTCCACTGTCCACACCATCTGGGTGGAACCATTGCTGCTTCTGTTCTCAGAACATTATAGCACTCTTCCCTTCGGTGCATCTGCAAGCACACAGTGCATGTTCCACAGTGGCATCTTGTTCACATTTGCAAAAAAAAAAGCACCCAGACACACGTTCCCTCATGGACATCGATGTGAAAAGACACATATCTTTCGCACGTGATTGGAACCAAGGTCCAATCTATCATGAAATTCCCAAGGTGGGAACCATTCCCACTACTAGAAGCCGTCATATGTTCACGTCATCTGTTCACATCGTTGGGCCTTAAGCCTTGGGTAGCATGCTAGTCTCCCATCAAGGATCAACTGGTGTTTTTGTTCGATCAGTGGTTTGCAAAAAAATGTCCTTGACAAATCCAAAAGAGCCACCATGGCAACTTGTGTAGCTTGCAATCCGTGTTGATACTTGCAGGCCTGTGAGCTCTCTGACAAACAGGCAGATGGGATTTTGCAAGTGAACTTCGGCAGTGAAGTCATTTCTGGGTGCGTTGAAACTGCGGAGGAAACGGCTTGTTGTTGGAAAAATATGACAGCTCTAATTTTTGTGTTTTTGTGACACGGTGGGTTGAAGCTTCCACGCACTTTAGACGCATGTCACGCGCAGAATTCTCCTCTGCCGAAACCCCGGAAATCAAGCCCACTATGCGTTAGCCCAGAAGTATAGCATTGTGAGATTTGAAGCACAACTGCCACTTGCATGCCGAAAAAAAAACTCCATGGTTCAAAGACGTGTCCCGATCAGAATCTTGACATCTTAATGGTTCTTGATATGTACATGGTCCCCGCACCACAGTGAAGACTGGCCGCACCTGACGCCATACTCCAAGGATTCAATCCATCGTGGATTTTGAAGCTGAAGCCTGCGTCAAAGCCATGAAAAACCTTGGATGTCTCAAGGAGGGTTCAGCCCCTTGGCCTATCCTTCAACTTTACTCAGTTTTTGGGGCTTTTCCAATCTTTTCCGCCCTTGCTTTAGCAACAGTTTATTTGATGCTTTTAGCCCAGCATTTGGTCAACGACCATGCGGTGACTTCACCAAGATTGGGGGGAGGACATGAATTTCACAGTTTCACGCGGGTATTTGAATCGATGAGCAAAGGGATTGGAACCCAAGTGCCCAAGTGGAAGAGCAACGAAGAGCAACACATTTGGGGCCACTGCTTTTGGATGACTCGGCCTATATAACCTCCGATCATCTCCGATCCCAACATGAATTGATGAGCCCTCAGAATTTGCGATTGTTTTGAAGCTGGAGTTTTGCTCTTTTAGTTTCATGATGAAACAATACCAAGCTCCTGACGTGTTAATTCGATCTATCCAATTCTCTGAATTCCATTGTGATCATGAATCCAAAGTTTATTTTGGACCAACCAAGAATGCTGCAATCCATCTTCGTTTGGGGCTCAATTTTGATCCATACCCCATGTGAGGCTGTCCCAAAAATGAAGCACACCCAATGCAGATGGGTTCATCATGGTTTATCATAACGTTCCAAACGAAAAGTCCAATTTATGATAAACTTGATGAACTCATTAGATACATTGTACTATTGTGATATAATTTATGGCTATAAGATAGGCCTATTCAGGACCCATATTCCTGTATTGTTGATGAATTTGAACCGGCTCCATCTCAATTGGATGCATTGAAGTCGGCAGTCCCTGTGTTTCTGTTGAAACCAATATTTGATCGGGATTCCTCGCCTGGCCGTTAATAGGCTCAACACCCTCATATTTGCCAAACATGTTGGAAATCAACTAAATCAACTGCCAAACACTCAAGGACTTCAAGAAAGTGGAGGCTGTGGTGCAAAACAACTTCGAGACGGGCAAGGTGAAGAGCAAACGCAGCAAGCGACGCCCGACATCGAACGATTGTTTTTTTGGTGGCTTCCCAGTGAAAGAGTTCTTGGTTTATAGCCACCATTAAAATCCATTGACATCCAGACAAACATGCATTCACCAATTGATATTAATCTACCATAACCCCTACCTTGCCGTACTTCTTGGAATTGTAACCAACTTAGCCAACGTACTGGGGGCACCGCCTTGTACCGTATGCTCCTTTTGTGAGATGATTGCCCGGTGCCAGACTTGCAAAGCTTGCAATTGCGGAAAACATATAATACGCATAATTTATAATAATTTAATATAATTTACCCTTTATAGAGTATAGAGATGTGAGAAACTCCGATGTCAGTGTTCCAGCATAATATGTTTCATTGTTCTTTTTCTGTTCTCTTGGTCATTGAGGGGAAGCAAAGTGGTCAAGGGAATTGCTGCCCATCCATTTTTCCGAGGAAAGCGCGCACTGACGGAAGAGGAAAAGAATCAAAAGACACCAAAGCAGACCGAGGCTGAGGGAAACCAGTGAAGGATAGGTCGGGTAGGTGCAGGGTGAAGACATCATTTTTTTGCTTTGACATGCGGGATTTGGGGCACAGATTCTGGAAAAAATGCACTTACACAATGTGGCATGGCATCCTAAAGTCCCAACGCATTTTTTGACACTGACCTTGTAACTAATGGTTACCATCCCCCAACCAGCGTAGACCCTACTATGGGCTGTTGGAAGACTACTTTCATCTACTTTCCCCTGGAGGTTGGGAGGATGATAACCGACGGTTTGGGTCCATGGTATGGACTACTGAAAGCCCCTCCCTGTCGTGACGGCAATTCCATTCTGAAAGGCAACGCGTACCAGCAGCCAACCGCGGATTTGACATATTAAAATATATTCAAATGAAATACCCGGCCACAGAAGCAACATATGGCAATATACCCTCTGGTAATTTAATAGCTATTGAACATGGCCCATTTATAGTTGATTTACCCATTAAAAAGATGGTGATTTCCATAGTTATGTTAGCCTACCAGAGGGTAACATATCATATTATGTATAATGGGACCAATGGGAATACATTTTACCCTCTGGTTATTTAACGTAGCCATGGGAATGGCCCATAGAAATAGATGGTCTGGTTTACCTATTAAAAAAATGTGATTTTTCATGGCTATGTTGAAAAACCAGATGGTATATCATGTGATCTATGTGATCTTTCGTTATTATGAGACATTACTGATTACTGAAAATTCATTTGGTTTGGCATGTTTGTTCAATGATGTGATTTGGCTGGTAGATGACGACCAAGAAAGATACAGATAGTGATGGCGTTCCTTCCCCCTTCCTGGGTTCCGGGGGGTTACTTGGATGGATCCTGCACGGCTAAATCATAATCATCGAAGGAAGTTTAGAAGTCAAACTTCCGACAATATGGACAGATGAAAAGCAGAGAAGGGAAGAGGCAGAGAGAAGAGAAAGATTAGAAGAGAGAAGAGTAGAAGAGAAAGAGTCAGAAGAAAGAAGATACAGATGCGCGAAAAGGTAGGAAAGACGCGATTCACTGTGTTTTTCCAATGATTTGTGGCTCCGGAGGGTCGAAAAGTAGGCTCCTTAAACCGGCGGGTGCGGAGCCAGCTGGCCAGATGAGAGATGAAAAATTGCACGACGTTGTGGCGCGAAGCAGATTTTGAAGTCAAAATGTACAAAACACACCAGCTTCGGACCACTTTTGGAAGTTGAGATGTCGAAAAAGTGCACGCCGTTGTGGCGCGAAGCACATTTTGAAGTCAAAATGTACAAAAACGCACCAGCTTCGGACCACTTTTGGCAGTTGAGATGTCGAAAAAGTGCACGCCATTGTGGCGCGAAGCACATTTTGAAGTCAAAATGCACAAAACACACCAGGTTCGGACCACTTTTGGAAGTTGAGATGTCGAAAAAGTGCACGCCGTTGTGGCGCGAACCACATTTCCAAGTCAAAATGTACAAAACACACCATGTACGGACCACTTTTGGAGGTTCGGATGTCGAAAAAGTGCACGCCGTTGCGGCGCGAAGCACATTTCGAAGTCAAAATGTACAAAACATTACATGTTCCGACCACTTTTGGAGGTTCAGATGTCGTTTCGCGTGGCAGGCGCAAGGGATTGCGGACCTTGTCAAAAGTGAGCAAAACGTGAGGGTTTTGTAGCATTTTCAACTACAACCACCACTCCACCACACTACACTCCAATACATTAACTACAACTACAACTACACCTTCACTACATTCTACTACACTACACTCCACTACACTACACTGCACTCAATTACACTCAATTACACTACATTACACTACATTACATTACACTACACTCCACTACACTACACTGCACTGCACTACACTACAGTACATTACACTACACTACACTCCCCTACACTACACTACATTACACTACACTCCACTACACTCCACTACACTAAATCACACTATACTGCACTACATTACACTACACTACACTCCACTACACTACACTACATTACACTACACTACACTACCTTCCACTACACTTCTACATTGCACTACACTCCACTACACTACAACTACAACTACGAATTCACAACTGATAGATAGATAGATAGATAGATAGATAGATAGGTAATTAGATGAAAGAGAGAGAGAGATAGATAGATAGATCGATAGATAGATAGATACACAGAAGATAGGTTGGTAGGTGGGTAGATAGTCAGAGAAAGAGAGAGAGAAAGAGAGGAGACCTCAAGGACCTTTCGGTCCATCAGTGGATTCGCTCTGCCATCCTTGATTCACAACAACCAATCTCTCCTATAGGTTTCCTATTTTTGAAACTTCCGCCACCGCCTTGTGCGGTACTAGTGGTATCAAAACATATCGCACACATACGCACAAACACTCATATGGAGGTTACCAAAAATGGAGGGCTACAACCATGGTACAGCCAAATCATCCATTTTCATAGGATTTTCCACTACAAGCCATCCAGCTATTGGGGTACCTCCTATGACATATATGTCCTTTGCTATTTCCTCAGGTGATCACAGAACATTGTGATTTCATTTCCAACTTCCCATATTTGCCGGAGTTCACCGGTAGGAATTGGGATTGCAGGAATGGACTGGACTGTTTTCATTTGAGCAGTCCCAGTTTTTCAAATGGAACTGGCCCAAATTTATAACATGGATGTATGCGGCATATGGATTTAATGAGTCCAGAAATGAGATTTTTTACAGGATTTTAAGAGATCTTAGCCACCAAAACCAGAATTTGGTGATTTTCACCACCGCCATCAAAACCAGGGGGGCTTTACCCTCCAGTAAACTAACATAGCGAACTGAAAAATAACCATCTTTAAATTTGGTAAATCCACCTATTTCTATCTATTTCTATGGGCCATTAGCTATGTAACAAATTAATACAAATTACCTAAAATGGGGGTAGCCCTAAATCATCCACATTAATAGGATGTTCCATTGTAAACCATCTAGCTATTGGGGTACCCCTATTTTAGGAAAGCCCCATGCGTCCACGATGTTCACCAGCAAAACCAGGTCATGAAGTACTTCAAGCTTCCTCCCGCTCTGGCTTTTGTGGCCCGCGCCATCACACAGATGGAGGGTGTGGGTGTGATGTTAGATGAGGACGCCTATTTTTTGCCGTGGAAAGACGCGGGAAAACCATCCCCCTTGGAATTTCCTCTACAGAATTGAGAACGTTGGGGCCAGGAAAATGGTGCATTTTAACCCCCTGACTTAATAAGGGGTACCTACCCAACGTCAACGCTTACAATTTTATAGAGGACCTTGGGGCCTCTGATTCTATAGAGATTTCATGTTGAATACAGCACTGAGGACTAGTCAGCAGAGAGGCTTAGGGACTGCGATTCTACAGTGGGATATGTTCTCTTTGGATGTATGTCATGTTCTTCAATTTTATAGAGAAGTATTGGCAGAACCAATTTCCCACAACAATTCTTTGATCATCCTTGATCATCCTTGATCATCCTTGATCATCTTGTATATTTTGGAATCATTTGGAATCTTGACATATTTTTGGAAACTTTTGGATACTTTTGGGATATATTGGAGATTTGTTGGAGATCTATCATCAGGGTTTCATCAGTTATCATCAGTTATATTCAGCAAATATGTACAATTTTGACATTTCAATATCTTACAAAAGCAGCTTTTTCTGGTACACACTACAATGTCTCCCATTTGACATTTTTCATTTTGCATCATTTTCCCGTTGTGTCTCCCCTTTCTTTCTCCCCGTTGTGTGTCCCCAGTGTGTCTCACCGTTTTTGGGTCGAAGTCCTCGAGCCAGC